TTTTCTTGATGGCCATGCACGGCTGTCCTTCTCCCACGCTCTTGTTTGTTTTTGTTCCTTCTTAAGCCCGCCCGCAATCTCTGTGAGATCTGGCGACTTATTCCTATTCATTTCATTACACTTAAATACCGGTTGTACACTACCTTGTACTTTAGTTCGAAAATCAGCTAAGGTTACCCCCTTGTGCCCTCTGTCTGACCCAGTCGCACCCCCTGTCCTTTGAAATATCGGGGCCACGTCAAGTACGAGGCACAATGCTCACAAACGAGTCATTGAAGCCGAAACCTGTCAGGGACTGCATGTCAGTTCACGACGATAAAGGTGTTCCCGAGAATCCTAGTCGTTGTTAACACTGAAGTGCCACCTTCAGTGGAGATAGGGCTTATATACATGGATACTGCTATCCACTAGAGCACGGCTACAAACAAGATAAGAAACAGCCGATAGAATGATGACATGAAAAGATAACTATTCATTCAGATAATCGTAAGCGAGGTGTGGGAAAGGGGTGACATGTGGACGGAAGATGGAAGCAGGATGCTAAGCGAGAGCTAAGCAAGATTACCTGTGTTCTTTGGATCTCTCCGGATCGTCTGACAGCAACTCCCTTCCGGCATAGGGGGTCAGGGTAGCCGGTTAGGCCGTGCCCTGACAAAACCCCGCTTCGCTGCGATTGTCATCCCCACCCTTAATGGGTTGTTATGCCAGAGTAGCGGACCTTAACGGTCACCGATGGCGAGTCACGGTAACATTTTCCCATGCCCTGACACATTAACTCAGCAGAGGATGGCCTAATCACCATGATTAGACATGGCAACACCTCTACACACTGGGTCTTCATGGCCAATTCCCCCCACCCCACTGATGTGTTCCAACACAGACAGTGGGGTAGCCGCAGCTGGAAGTATGGAATGGTATCACCCTTCCATTGCCACATGTTACGGGAATGGGTTCTGGGGAACCCAACCTGAGCTGTTCTGCTCATGGATGGAGGTGGCTGCATAGCCATTGAGGGGAGAGCAAGAGGAGATCTGAGGCCAGGTGTGCTAACAGTAACTTGGTGCTCCGAGGAGTGTACTGGCAGCAGGTGTGGTGGTCTGCTAATGGTGACTTGGCACTCCAAGGAGCGTACTGGCAGCGGGTATAGTGGGGGCTCCTTGAGGGAGCCACCTAACAGTCGGCTAGCAGTGACTTGGCGCTCATGTGAGCATACCGGTAGTGTGGGTAGTTGGCACTCCTTAAGGGAGTAACCCAGTAGTCGACTATCGGTTGCTTGGCGCTCAAGGGAGCATACTGGTAGCGGGATTTGTTGGGACAGGCAGGTTGGTTGACCAGTGTGCAGTAGTGAGTGACCATGGTAATTTGGGCCCACGGGTACGTGGCCAGGCATCCTGGAGCTGCCTGAGTCACTTCTCCCTCCCAAGAAGGGAGGAAGGGTTGTAGGACCCAGTAGGGTACTACAGGAAGGGTAGGAACAGGAGCCCAACCACCCAGTGGGGGGGTGGGAGGAGGAAGGGTGAGGTCCGGTGTCTGAGCACTCACTGGGCCGTTGAGGTTTTCTCACAAATTGTATAAATATCGATGTAGACATCGATATGGGCCAAGTCAGATGTTACAGGGAAGGTTCACAGTGGTAGCACAATGGTGGCAGTTACAATTGTGGTACAAGGTTTTGGGGGTTATGTATTTGATAAAGAAAGACCTCTTTCAGCATTTGCCTTTACATGTCATATGACTAGTTTATATCTAATATAAAAGTTGCAATGGTCAAGGGAAGTCCCTTGAAATTCAACAATTTCCCCAGCCAGCACCAAAACCCAGTGGGAAAGCTTGGCATGGGGTTTTGGTAGAGAAATAAAGGAAAACAATAAGGAGACATACCTGGTTCCACCTGCTTGCAACCATGGACGATAAGATTCTAGTCCATCCCTATAACACCACAGGTGAACTGCAAGTGCTGCAAGGGTAGAGACCTACCAGTGCCTGCTGAGCAAAGTCCCATTCTGGACCAAAGCATTCCCCCACAAAAGAATCAATGACCCCCAAATTGCAAACACAAACCCCACCAACAATGCAGAACTTACTGCCACCCACAACCCGGACCCTCAACAAGTGGGGATGGCAGATGTGGCCGAGGCAATCTGTATCAGAAGAATCAGCCTGACCCAATTTGTGTAGTTAGACTCCAGGAAATGTTCTCGTTTCTGACCTTGGATGTATTTACATTCGTAATCAATTCAACATTCACTCCCAGGCTCCAAGTCGGTCACATCCCTCAGCCCCAAGAAATCACCCTATGGTGCAAAGTCTATGTTCTTACAAGCTCCAAGGGCCCCTACAGCATTCAACCACTACACTACAAGATGCCCCCACAGTACCAGCACCTTCCACCCCATATCAGGCAGAAAGTCAACAACACTGGTGAACTTAGCGCCTTCTCCAGTGAAGCTGTGGAGACTCTTGGTTGCACATCTTCAACAAGCTCGTAAGTTGGTTCATACCAGTCCATTCACTCAAATAATGTAATTTCCTTACAGATCATACACCCCCAATGCATGGACATTGGACTCATTCGAAATTGGCCATCACCTTGGGAAGGGCGGGTTTGGACATGTCTACATAATGTCATATCCATCCCCAGCCATCAACTTCCGACCCCTCCGATCCCTCTGTTCCACCTCCACTCCTTCTTCACTAACCTCGGAGCTCCCGTATCCTGCAATCCCCTTGGTACCCCTCGATGGTCACCACCCCCTCCTTTCAATTTATTACCTATGCCTCCCTAAGTACGGAGCCCCGAAGGCTTCCGGACAGCTCCGATGTCCACTAGCACACTCCTGCCTCTGCTGACCAATACACTCACTTGCCCTGCAGAGCCCACCTTCAGGTCTATCCCTCCTTTCCGTTTCTGGGTTATCACCTGCCTTTCCGTTAACCCTGTAACCCAACTCGTCGGTAATATTCAATCAGCTAATGTCTAACCCTGTTAGCTCCGCTCCACTCGGCTCCACCATTTGTGGACCCGCCCTCGTTGTAACCATATATATACTCAACTTGTACATAGGTTACACCTCAGTAATAAAATTGACTAGAGTTTATCCCCCTTCAGTTCTGGTTGCCAGTTTAGTAAGTTAGGGCATGGACGTGTTACTTGGCACAGCGCTCCTGGCACAAGTCGCTGAGGCCAAAGCCCTCCACCATGGAGACACTCCTTCATCTCAACCCGGTCTCTGACACATGGCTCGAACCAAGGAGGCTCCCAATGTCAAAAACCCCAAACGAGGGTTAAAGTGTGTGAGTCTGAATGCAGGCAGGGCTCAACTAGAGGGGATCCGAGAGCTCTGGTAGTGAACTGAAGCTTCTCCAGGAAGCCCAGGTCTGCTGGGTGGTACAAGAGGCTCTAAGAAGGATGCAGCCTCAGTGTTAGATCAGGCAGATTTGGATGACTCCGGAATGGAATCAGAGACTTAGCGTGGAAGGACCTTGGCCTCAGTGACTCAGGCGGAGTGCTGTGCCATTGCTGGTTGTCCTAGGGGTCCCTAATTTCGGATCTAGCAGAGGGGAAGTCTCTTGGGGGGAAATCAAGTTGATTTTGGACTGAGATTACAAGTTACTATGTACATTGTATATAAGGAGGGGTCCAAAATCAAAAGGAGCAAGGGTACTCCGAAAGGAGACAAAGGGAGCTGGAAGGAGGAACAACACCAAGGGTCAAGGGTTTGACTCAATGGTGTTTCCCAAAGGAGGAGTGAAGGGCCAAGGCCCAAGGAGGATGGAAGGAGGATGGGAGTGGGGAATGGCCAGCTGACTGAATAGAAAGGAAGCAGCAGCCCAAATAAGAATGAGGGAGTATAGTGGAATTGAATGGAGCAATGCAATAGTTGCAAGGTCCGAAGTAAGTCCGGAAAGTCCGAACTCGGAAGTTAAACTCCGGAATATTGGCAAAGGTAATTAAATGGAATGAGCTAACATTGGAGCTAAGACCAGAGGTTCCGGAGATGGAGACGCGAATGGGATTCCAGAGCGGAGGTCCGGAGTCAGGAGTGTAGGTGTTGTGTGCTCGTCTGGAAGGTGTCGAGGTTGGGGTCGGACCCGGAATGTTCCGGAGTCGGACCGAAGGTGGTGTCAGAGCCGGAGGTGGGATAACCTCTTGGAAGTCGGCAAGGAGAAGGTGACGGAAAGGAAGTAGGGCTCTGGAGTTCGTTTTGGAGTTCTGGGAGCCTGGAGCAGAGGTAGGGATTGTATGGATATGACACTCAGGAGCACTGTGCCTCCATTATGTCTCAGTTAGTCCTTTTATTTCATATGTCTGAGGTATCTTGTAGGAAGGGGTCAGGATTCACTCATAGAGGGACTTGGGGTAACTTTTAGTTGAGATTAGAACTGAGGTACAAGAATCTAATCTACAGGTATATATAGAGGAAGAGAAGGACTTTAGTCAAAGTCTGAGTGATACTGACAAACACCAAAAGGTGCCAAATGATACCGAAAGGTCCCAAACGATATCCTTAACAGGGAACCGGGGTGTTGGGTTGAGGAGGGGAGAGTAGAAGGCCGGAGGATGAATGGGAACGAGAAATGGGGCTGACTGAATGGAAAGAAGACAACAGTCATACTATAAATGGAAGGTGACTAATTTGTGATGATGTGAGTGGGATCACCAGAGGATGCGGTTAGCTCCAAAGCCGGAGTTACATATCTGAAGGATGTTGGGTGACTCCACTAAATGAAATGGGAGGAGGAATGGTTTAGAGGTATGTCACACAATGCCAGAGATCCGTTGGGAGGTCAGAGCAATCCAGAGTCTCTGAATGTTCTGACTCGGGGCTGAGCTTCCGGGATGGGAGTGGCCAAGGTCGAGTGTGCTGAGATCCAGGCTGGAGCTGAGACAGTTGGGGAGGATGGTGATGTTGGAAAGTGGGGGGGTATGGTGTAGGGGATGGTGAGGTTGTTAGGAAGATGTAGTGAGGTGGGAGAGTGCAGGGTTGGGATTCCAGGATATGACACCCAAGTTTATTCTCACCCTGAAATGCCTGTACAAGGCTGAACTGAAAAACAAACATGCCAAGGAGCAATTGTGTCATGAGATTGAAATTCAGAAGGAACTGCGACATCCAAACGTCTTACCCCTCTATGGATTTTTCCATGATGAAAACCGGGTTTTGTTGATGTCGGAACTCGCACCAAAGGGGGGTATCTTCAAGTGCCTTACAGAACTTGGACATTTCTCAGAAGAGCAGGGAAGTCAAGTACGTCTGTTTAACTGCCACTGATATTCTCCAACTGATTGGCTATTGTAAGTACATTTCTCAGGTGGTGGATGCATTGCAATATCTACATAGCAAGCATGTCATCCACCATGGTATCAAGCCTGAAAATCTTCTCCTTGGTCTTGATGGAGAGGTGAAGATAGGCGATTTTGGATGTAGTGTCCAAGCAAACAGTAATTGGTGTGTGTTCCATCAATGCATGACTGCTTTGATTAGTATTGACACGACCCACCAGCCGGATGACATTCTGTGGCACTCTCGATTACATTGCCCCTGAAATGGTTGCAGGGGAACCCTGCATGGAGAAAGTGGATCACTGGGCACTGGGTGTCCTTGTTTATGAGTTTCTTGTTGGCAATGTACCCTTCAAAGCAAACAGTCCCATAGGTTAGTGTTCCCCATGCGATGAGTTATCCTGTCTTTGACTGATGCTATGTGACAGCAACATACCAACAGATCCTGTTGATGGACTTGGAACTTCCCAGTCACATTTCCCCAGAAGCTTGTGACTTCATTGAACTTGTGCATCCAACCCACCATTGCTTGGCACTCATACTGATTTGTTACTAGCTGCTGTGCAGAGAGCCTGAGAGGAGGCCTCTTCTTAGCGATGCAGCAAGTCACCCTTGGATAATGGGCGATCGTTTTTCACCAGAACTTAAATGTGATCTCCTTCACCTTGGACCCCTGTAACACCTTCACTTGCTTTAATTTTTGTAAATAAGATCATAAATTTATATATCATTTTGGAACATAGATAAATCTACATGATAGGTTGGCATGATTGAACTGATTGGGGCACAGGGAGGGAATCCCAGGGATTTGATCAAATCAACTCAATCGACCTTGGAGGTGTCCTGATGCCAGTCCCACAGATAGGGAACATGTCAAAAAATACCCTCTCGAACAAGAGAGAAGCTATAATATTTGACCCCCCAAGACCCAAGGCTGCCCACATTGTCATATCCATACATACCCGATCCCGATCCAACTCCCGGACCCCCATCTTCACCACCTCCAGAGTCCTACCCTATCGCCATCCGTTCCAATATTCACCTTCGGACCTGACACCACTCCTCCTCTTACCCCTCACATCACCTCCACCCTTCCATCCTTCTCCCACCCTACTTCCGTCACTCTCCTACCCTATCTCTGTTCGCTCTGATACTCACCTCGGACTGAACATCACTCCTCTCACCACTCTCCTCCTCTTACTCCTCCTCTTACTCCTCACGACACCTCCACCCTTCCGTCACTCTCCCACCTTATCTCCATCCACTCCGATACTCACCTTCAGACCTGACACATTTCCTCTCCCCCACTCCTCACCCCGCTCCTCTCTTCTCCCTCCTCCCTCTGACCCTCTTCCACCAAACCTCCGCCAAGTTATGACCTTCCGCTGCTGTCCTGTACCCTGTACTTGGACACCACTCATACCTTCACTCCAAGATTCTGTCATAGTCCCAACCTTGGACTTTGACTCCACCTCAGCTTAAGTCCATTGCATTGGTGACCTCATACTACGTAAACACCATTGCCAACATTCCTTGGACTTTCAACCCCACCTCTGTAACCTCTGTAAGCTCCACAACCCCCAAGCTCCACAGATCATACTCGGCACTTTTGCCACTTGTAATGTATCTTTTGTGCTTTTCCCTCATCCTTATTTGGACTGCTGCTTCTCTCCATTCTAGCCAGTTAGTCATCATCCCCACTTCACCTCATCCTCCTGCCCCTCTGGGCTTTGCCCTCCCTATCACCTTTCAGTGCTGCTCCACTTCCGTCATCCCTTTGTTCCTGTTCAGACACCTTTGTTCTGTTTCAGACACCCTTTGATTTCCTTGTGCTTTCGTCTCCCTACTATATACAGGTGCTTGTACATACTTGTTTTGGACCTTCAGTCTAAAATCGACCTGAAATGCCCCCTAGAGACTTCCTGCTCACCACCTCTGAAATTAAGGACCAAATGGACAAACAGCAATGGCACAGCACTCCGCATGAGTCGCTGAGGCCAAGGTCCCTCCTTGCTAAGTCTCCAGTTCCCCTCCAGAATTGTCCACCCTTGCCTATTTCTAACACACATAATAGACAACTACAGAATCAAAAGGGGATATTTTTCCACCCAGTCTCCTGCTGAACAATGCAGTATTGGTGAAGATGTGAAGTGTTCGACAGCATGTCGAATGGCATGTGCCCTTGATGGCACTTAGAGCTCCTTGCTAGGCCCTTAGGGTACCCATTATGCACTGCTAGGCCTACCCAACAGGGCATTTTCGATGGGGGCCCCCATCATATGCACCATGACACAAGCCATCCATTGGGGCCCCTATTGGAAATGCCCTGTTAGGTGGGCTTAGCAGCACAGAATGAGTACCCAATATTAAAAGTGAATGTTGAAAAAAAGAACAAAAAATAGGAATTGTTCCTTCAGGTGACTGTCTTTATCAATTAATAATTCTCCTGACTGCTTCGTCTTGTAATTCTCAAGCACCATATATTCTTGTTGACTCTATATATCTGGGTGCCCCACAACGTTGTGGTTGTGCTGCGACACATTGTGTGACAGAGATTACCATCACAGTCACTCGAACATGCCATTGCTTCTCTATTGCACATTCAGAATGGAAGGCTTGCATCACCATCACTCTGAATGTAAAGGTGATTGTGGTCAATAGCCCAGCATGTATTGATGCTGCAAGGGCCATGTTTAGTGAAAGATGATTATGATTCCACCAACATAATCATCCGGATAACCTATCAAACCAACCATGCATCATTGACTTCTATGGGTTCAAACCAGTCATCCAGAAACATAGAGCCTCGTCATACTGGCCTGTCAACATTTCAAAAGACATGGAAGAGGAAGCGATGAGGAAGTGGACCTTTGATATATGGAAATGCAATGACAGACACTTGACGATGCTACAGAAACTATTGCTATCATTGCCTCAAAACGGCCCACCTTGGAGTAATGTGGTGCTTGTAATGCCTTGCCATGCAGTTCAAATGCAATGGAACGATCAATCACTATGATGACATTGCCCAATATTTGTATTGTTTCCCCCTGCTTGCATATTAGTCAGACTGGATTCTGAGTGTTTTGTCTTAATAACTTACACACTTTCATGTACCCTAGCGTAACATGCTGGGTAACTAGTTTCAATGCTATTAGTTCAACAATGTTAGGCTAACGTAACATGCTAGCATAAATTGCTACCCTTCTAATAGAGCCCTATACATCATCCTCATTGTTGTGGCAAGCAAATGCATGACATCCTGCTAAGCAATAACAACTATTACTATTATCAGACACCCTCATTATGTTTTATGCCAATTGTCATATCCATTCACAGCCATTGACTTCCACTACCCCCGATCTCTCTGGACTACCTCCGCTCCTTCTTCACTAACCTTGGAGCTCCCATATTCCACAATCACCTTAGTATCCCTCGATGATCACCACCCCCTCTTTTCAATTTATTACCTACACCTCCCTAAATACAGAGCCTTGAAGGCTTCTGGACAGCTCTGATGTCTGCTAGCGCACTCCTGCCTCTGCTGGGCAATACACTCATTTGCCCTGCAAGCCCACCTTCGGGCCTATCCCTCCTTTCCATTTCTGGGTTATCGCCTACCATTCCACTAACCCCGTAACCCGACTTGTTGGTAATATTCAATCAGCTAATGTGTAACTCTGTTAGCTCCGCTCCGCTCGGCCCCACCATATATGGGCCCACCCTCATTGTAACTATATATACCCAACTTGTACATAGGTCACACCTCAGCAATAAAATCGACTAGAGTTGACCCCCTTTAGTTCTGGTTGTCAGTTAGTAAGTGTCAGGGCAATAGCCCCGAACCCCGAGTCACATGTAAACTAGATAGATATAGTCACGTGGACAAGCGGGAACCTCCGGGTAACCGCTTACACACCACCGTAAAATACATCATCTTGTATCACTTACGGCTTTGTGTGCTGAGCAACCCCAAAGACCTCACACTTTTTTAAGTGCATGAGGTGTGTTTTACAACACAACCCACAACTATAAAATCTCAACATCTGATTCGGAAGCGCTTATGGCGCCTAAACACGCCCGCAAGGGCAAGGTCGCATCTGCAGTGACGTTAAAAAGAAGCGAGCGGTTTATTAAGAAACCGCAATCTCCCATCATGGGAGATTCAAACCAAAAGCCGTCGTCAGATGATGACGAGGATCAACGCGATCCGGAATCAGCAACCACTTCAGGGCTGGTCCCTGAAGACTTTAGAAACTTACGTGGAGTAAGTGCGGGGCAAAATACCCCCAGAACTCCACAACAAACCGATCTAACCCAAGCTGGGGAAGATCCCTTATCTCCTCACGAGGTAATCGACTTGCGCGAAAAACGCGTAAGCGCCGAACGATCAGCCCAAAAAGCTGATCGGATAGAGCCACAGGAAACCCCAGGGCCCCACTATCCCCTAGAGTTCCCAATCACGTCCCCAAGTCAAGCCCTAAAGGCAGACAAAGGGAAACAAAGGGAAGAAACCCTGCGTCGGCTATCCGAAAAACTACTGGACTTGTTCCAGGTTCCGTCCGAATGGAGGACGGAAAGTGAAGATCAACTTCTTCTCAGGCTGAAAGCCCGAGAAGGCGCGAAAATACGCCCTGAGAGCAGGATCTCTCAGAGCGCGGAAGCTCCAAAAGAGCCTCTGCTGTTTACACCCCCACGCACCATGCCAGACAAGGCAAGGTCGCCAACTTCGGAGGAGGTCTCCGAGATAATGAGGAGGCGAACTGAAATGAGGGAGTTCGCTGAGGAAGCCTTACGTAAAAATAAGGAGAAACCAGCGAACAGACCCCTCTATGAAAGGGAAGCACCCTCCGCAATGGCCTCGCCAAAACAAAGCGAGCGTGGAGTGTTCACTCCAAGAACCCATTCTGGAACTCCCAGAAGCGGAAAGGTCAACTGGGGAGAGTCACTGCTCGCCCAACCAAACTTCCTCCTGGAAAACCAGGAATCGCGCATAATAAACGCGATAAACTCGATCCAGAAAAAGATCGAGGAAACGAACCATAATAGCACGGCTCGTCTAGAGATAACTCTAGAAAGAATGGCCAACGCAATCGACGCGTTGACAGAAAAAATCAGCGAACAAACAGATTTGCTGAAGGAAATAAACTCCTCACAAAAAAGTGAGGAAACAAATAAACACCCCTGGACCACGGTCCAGGACATAAATAGAACTCGTGAAAAATTCACGAAAAGAACCACCAGTGAAAGCACACTGGAATATCACCAGCGACTCGACAGAGACGCTAAGGAGATCCTTCTCCCAAGGATAGGAGAAGACGATGCCGAGAGAAGACATCGTTCAGAGATCAGAAGGAGAATTGGCATGTACCAAAGGTTCGGCCAAACATCCAATTATGACGGACCTCTCGAACAGAGAGGTAACGCATTCATACCCTCTCAAAACAATGAGAGAATACAAATACAACTTCAGGCGAATTCGCCTGAAACCAAAGAAATGCTGCGAGAAAGATTCCCCCCAGCAAAAACCCCCCCAAAGGAGAGATCTCCAATGGACAGCGACCCCGCGAAGGCAGGGGAGCAAGAAGAGTACCTGGAGAAATGGTACGAAAAGGCCATAAGAATGGCCGAAGTGAGAATACTCACTCCCTACCCAGAAGGAGTGAAGCCAGAAGCCCT